CTTCTAGTCTAGCTCAGGGTCCACTACGTAGATGTCACTCATAAATAACCATCTATATTGTATCTCTTAATTTTTCTTTTCTCTTTTTAAAAATATCCTATAGTGAGGTATATGACTTGAAGACAAACATTTCTTATAACATAATTTGACGACAGTGATAGGTGGAGGAGGCTGAGCTTGGAGGCAGGGGGATGCTGGACAGACGGAAGGGGAGCCAGATAAGATCAGAGTGGGAAGACGCCATGTCTAGACAGGGCCAGGAGAAGAGGCCACAGGGGGCACACTTCAGAATGCTCTGGGCTTGAGTTGTCATGCTACTGATGAGCTGCTCCCACCCAGGGAGGCAGCTGCTGACTTAGTGGCAGAGGGAGAAGGAACACAAGTCTACAACTGTTCTTCTCAACCAACTCTGTGCTTGGAGGAAGATAGGCTAAAAAGAGTGGGTAGCCAAGCAGCTGCTGAGCAACCAAGAGACAGTGCTACTGACATCCAGGAGGAGCTGAGGGATGGCTCATACACCAAGGGCCTGAGGGGACAGCAGAGTGAGGAGGTGGAGATGCTCAGTGGACACTGGCACATCCAGGACTGGAGGATCAAGGGAACACAGCAACGACAACAGAAAAGTGGTCTTCCAGTGGAGATGCTCTGGAGATCCTGAGCTGGCTACAGGTGACCTTCTAGTCTAAAGGAGTCCTTTCACTACGGGTTAGCTCTTTCAGGGAGCTTTGGCTTGCAGCTTCCATTCAACAAACCTGGCTCTCTTACAGCTTTGCCACCTAATCAATCTTGTCCCCTTCCTATCCTCCCTCCATTGTTCCTGTACCTAAGAGCTTACCCCCTGTCCAGGCCAGACATCCCTAATGCTTTCAGCTGCTTCCTCATGGCATGGTTTCTTTGCAACACTGCTGTTTTCCTCTGCACAGACTTAATGTCTACTTACAAGTAGGGTCTACAAAACCATGGCTGGGCTGGAACATCCAACAGCAACAACCAGATTGGGTGGAAGGCCAGTCAGGAAAAGCCACAGTTCCTGCTATGACAGGAGGTGGACTGAGTAGGGTTGGCTCATGGACCCACTGGTAAGCGTGTAAGCGTGGGAGAGGTTCTGATGGAGGAGCCTGGGCAACTCCTCTGGCAGGACACAGACCCGACAGGTCAGCGCAAGAAACATGATAGGAAACAGTCCAGAAAAGGCCATGGAAAGCTACCCACTGGCATACACTTGGCAGACGTGGGGGCAAGACCAGGCTGAATCTGTCCACGTCATCCACTGGCAAATCCAGGCACCAGTGTGGGTTGACCCAGGTTCGGTCGCAACAAAGACTAGTGCACAATATGGAATGCCGAGGTGAGGTTGCCTGTACCGGAGGGGACCGCAGCGTCCAACCAGCCTGAGAACAAGAAAGGAAGTAGGCAGAGCCAGCAGGGGAATAAGGGAGGGTTCCTTTGCAGGATAGCTACTTCCGCAGGAGAGCATGGGCTGGGATGGGGGCAGACCAGACTAGGCAGAGCTACCACACCTGTGTGCCTCATGTGGACTAGATCAGGGAAAAGCCGGGCTCGGCGGATTATTCCTACTGGTGCAAACAGAATTAAAGTGGGCGAGGTTTGGTTGGGCAGCATCAACTGGAATCTGGGAGTGGGAGAGGCCTGGGAGGGTAATAGTGGGCTCATCCCTCTTGGGTTACCACTTCCACGGGAGGACATAAAACTAAACAGTGGCTGGGGTGGAATGGGGTGTGGGACAGACTGGATTACTGCTACACTTACTGGCAAACCAGGGTAGGGGCGGTCCTGGTGGGGGTTATTGTGGGTCGCTCCAACTAGGCTGCAGCTCCCACTGGTTTAGGTGAGGGCCAAATATGTGCGGGGCAGAACCAGGCTGGACCGCAACACCCATTGGTTCCAGTGGAAGTCGGGAGTGAAAACAGAACCAACCCAGCAATTACAACCACCAGCTGATTGGAGCGATGGACGGTGCCTGGCCCTGTACTTGTTAGCACATACAAGAAGTTTCTTTGGAGATCTTCCTAATCTAAATGCTGGACTCAGAACCCTAACGAAGAAAAGAGAGAAGACAGAACAGGTCAACCAACCATCTCAGCTATGATGGACTATGTCAATCAGTGGATTTTTCAAAGACCTCATAGTGCTTGGAGTGGCAAGATTGACAGCAATTCATAACTGTTGCAATATCAAAACCACTCGAGCAAGAACCTCAGAGCATGCCCTACACCCGGGACTTGGGGAGGGTGGGAAATTGGGTGGGCCTTCTCCCTTAATACCCCCCTTTTAAACATGAAGGTAACAATATGGAAAACATACTAGTATTATCCACTTTCCTGTAGCCCTTGAACCTTCTTACTCTAACTAAGTATGTAAAGAATGTCAAAATAAATTTTATTAATTAAAAAAAAAAAAAAAGTAGGGTCTACATTTGTTCTCCAAGTCCTAGAAGGGTCTGATGGATGCAGAGGATTGCAGCCACTGTGTTTTTCTTCTGAACATTAGTTTTCTAAAAGTGTGGCCAATGTGAAGTAATTTTACTTGGGCAGCCAAATTCTGTAGTGGGCCTCTCAGTAACCTCAACCCTTCCACTTGGCACTGATGCTAAGAGCACTCCCCTGTTGCTGGACATGGCCAGACTAGCACCTGACTTGTTTTATACTGCCTAACAAAATATAAAAGGACTCCGGGCCAAGTCCAGTGCTTGTTCACATAGGGGACACTGATTGGTCTTAAGGAGGTGATGACAAGAGTGGAGTCCCTCAGGTTAGGTGAAATGTATGTTTCTTTTTGAGGCCCTTGGGGAAGCTGAACTCATTTTCAGGTGGTTCCTGGAGGTAGGAAATCTGAACAAAGGAGGGAAGCATTTACCCTCTGGAATTTAGTAGCTCGTTTTGGTCTAACAGCCCCTTTGGGGTGGGTTGTGAAAACCCAGTCATCTCACCCTCCCTTTACGGTCCAGGCCATTCTGAGGAGAAACTACTGTGCGATGGCTGCCAAGGACCAAGCATTTTCATTCTCCTGTTTTAGTCACTTGGATGCTCTTCTTGGCTTCCTTGCGACTGACTGGGTGGGCTCATGCTACTTGTTCTGGCCACCGAGTTGTGAGTGGTGGTAAAAAAAACCTGTATTTCCCTGTAGGTCTTTGAAACATAGTTTTCACTCTGGATAAGCAGCAATATCCCAGGGGGGATTGGGGTTTGGGGCTGTCCTGAGTGCCTGTGGATGAGCAGTTGGCCTCTTAGCTCCCTCACAATGAACATGTGGCATGAGATAAAGCCAATCCTTTGTAGTTTTAAAGCACTGAAAATGTGGACTCAGACGGTAGCCTTGTGGCTAAAGTCCTCACCTTGTATGTATTGGGATCTTATATGGGAACCAGTTCCTGTCCCATATGTTCCTTTTCCCTTCCAGCTCCCTGTTTGTGGCCTGGAAAAGCAGTCAAGGACAGCCCAAAGCCTTGGGAGCCTACAGCCACATGGGATACCTGGAAGAAGCTCCTGGCTCCGGATTGGCTCAGCAATGGCCATTGTGGTCACTTTGGGAGTGAATCAGTGGGTAGAAGATCTTTCTCTTTGTCTCACCCTCTCTGTAAAGCTGACTTTCCAATAAAAATAAAAAAAAAGTTAAAAAAAAAAGCACTGAACATATGGATCACTGCAACAGCACCATCTTAGCCTGATACACAATCACAAATCAAGCAGAATCTCAGAAACCATTTAGTCCAATGCTTTCATCTCAGAAGAAAATGGAGCTTCAGAAAGAGGAAGCGCTAGCCCAAGGTCAGGCAGGCGGTGAGCATGGAGGAGGATCAGAACCCACACACTGCCTCTGTCTCAGACCAGTGAGTCAAGTGATCTGACTCATGACAGAGAATGCTGGCCACTAGGTGGGACCTGCCACACTGAATCATCTCCACGCATACAGTCCACCTGCAGACCTGAAGCTCTGTGAGGCAGGAAAGAGCAAAAGCCTGAGAGTCAGAAATGAGGCTTTCAGGCCTGGTCCTGCCACTGATCTTGCCGCATGACCCGTGATCAAGCCTGTTGGTTTCAGTTTTGATGTGAACTCACTCTGGGACCAAAGGAAAGCCACATCATACCCCGAGAGTGCAGCTTCCCTACAGGTGAGATGGGTGAGCTGATCTAGGTTTCAGAGACTTCTGACTTGTGCTCCTGGGGAATGGTGTTGTGGTGCTGTGGATTAGGCTGCCACCTGTGATGCCAAGCATCCCTAACGGAAGGTGGTGTGTATGCTGGCTGATTCATTTTCAGGCCAGCTCTCTGCTAATATGCCTGGGAAAGTAGCAGAGGATGGCTCAAGTACTTAGGCCCTTTCTCTTATACAAAGACAGGAACATTTTCTGATGTGTTTGTTTATGCTTTTTAAAAATCTTTTCACCACTGAATTTACCAATTCTAAAGTTCCCTACCAGCTACAAGATTTCTGATTCCAGTTTTTGGACTCTATTCAGTAGTTCTTAAGTTACAGCTCTGTGGCTGGGAGTAAGAGAAGACTCAGTACTGCTTTTAGGGAGCTCGAAATTTGAAAGACTGAAAAAAAGATGAGGGTTTGGGGCCCAGATTCTACACCAGGCTCTCTGGACTTTGCACACAGGGGAGGAGTGAAGTTCTAGAAGACCTGATGATGGCAAAGGACTGTTTGATGAGACTGCAGACAACAAGAGGCCTGGGGGCGGGGGAACCCTGCCAAGCTCAGGCTGTTTTTGGGAGAGTCCCTTTCCTCTGCAAAGGAGCTGGGAGAACCACCACCAACTGATTTTGAAGGTTAATCCCCTTGTCTTGTCTTGCCCTGGTCATGACAGGGGCAGCTTCCTGTGCTTTTATAAGTCTGGGGGATGGATTTGTATTGAGGCAGACAACAGTGAGCTAAAGAGAAGTGGCCTCTAATGTGGAGCCTGGCATAACTGAATGAGTGCAGCTGAGATGACTGCATGGAGCGCCCACAGGCCTCCTCCTCTCTCGGACACTCACCTTGGTCTCAGATGCCCTCAGAAGCTTCATCACCTCCCCTTCCCGGGCGTAATCCAACGGCGTATGCCCCATTTCATTCCTCAGCACGGGGTTGGCTCCTGGAGAAGAGAGAAACCGTCATAGTACCTGTGAACCGTGGTTCCTAAGCATTCACTGTTTCTCCCCACCTCTCAAAAACAAAAACAAACAAAAAAACTTATTTGAAAGGTATTGTTACAGATAAGCAGAGATAGAAAAAGTCTTCCATGCATTGGTTTATTCCCCAAATGGATGTTAACAGCCAGAGCTGGGCCACTGTGAAGCTAGGAGCCAGGAGCTTCTGTTTGAGTCTCCCAGTGGCCATCATCTGCTGCTTTCCCTGACATATCAGCAGGGAGCTGGATCAGAAATGGAGCAGCTGAGACTCAAACGGTGCCTATAGGAGCTGTTGGTGCCACAGGCAGAGGCTTAACTTGCTATGCTATAGTGCCAGTTCCAAATCTTCACTTAAATTCTGGCTCAGGGGCCTCACTTCAGCATGGAAATGCGCAGGGAGACATAAGAAACTACAGCACAGTGAGAAAGAGCCATCTAGCTCTTCTGGGAGGAGATGTCAAGGTGTCAGGGTGTCGACAAGTACACGTAAACCTTACCCAAACAGAGAAGTGTGCAACCAGGGGGTTAAGACTCAGTGTTACACAGATTGAATGGGCTAAATGGAGTCCATTTAGCATGGGTGGCCCTGTGTGTGGATGGAGAGTGAAAAGCAAAGTTTCTCAGTCTGCAAAAACATTTGTAACATGATATAAAACTATTCCTACTGAAACACTTTTAAAAAATATTTTTATTGGAAAAGCAGATTTATATAGAGAAGGAGAGACAGAGACAAAGATCTTCCATCTGCTGGTTCACTCCCCAGATGGCTGTAAAGGTCAGAGCTGAACCAATCTGAAGTCTCTTCCAGGTCTCCCATGTGGGTGCAGGGTTATATGGATTTGGGCTGTCCTCCTCTGCTTTCCCAGGCCACAAGCAAGGAGCTGGATGGGAAGTGGAGCAGCCAGGACATGAACCCACATGGGATCCTGGCACATGCAAGGTAAGGATTTAGCTACAGGGCTATGGCACCAGGCGCCGAAAACGCTGCTTCTTAAAGGATCTTGTAAATATTTACTCAGCATTTATGTGTGACTGTCTCCGGGCTACAGAAGAGGCTAAATTATACAGGTGTGGGAGGAGGAGAAGGGGCAGAGAGCAGGACACATAATCCAGGTGAAGGAAACTTGCAGCAAGGGAAAATTAACATTTTTATACATGATACTATTTCCTACCAGCTTAGTACAAAACATTGGTATTTATTATTTTTATTAAGATATAAATCACATGCCATAAGCTAACCTTTTAAAGTATTCATTAGTAAGTTGTATAAGCATCACCACTAATTCTATTTCCCCCAAACAATCCTGTGTTCATTAGCAGATCTTGCCCATCTCTCCCAGCCCTGACAACTGCTGGTTTACGTCTGTCTCTATGGATTTGCCTCTTCTGGATACTCAAGAACAGAAACCTGTACTATGTGTCATTTTTGTGCCTGGCTTGTCTTACTCAGCCTTTTTCAAGGTTTATCCACACTGTGGCATGGCTGAGCAGTCTTCCTGTGGGTTTTCTACAAGCCGATGTCTGTGGACCACGTCCCCTTTTAGCAGTGCTGCACAGGCTGCTGTGAACATGTGTGAGTCTTTGTGTGGACACACACTTCCAGGTCTGCTGGGTAGACATTTAGGAGGGGTGACAGCATTAGCACCAGTGTTCATTGAGCACTTACTACTTGCTAGGCGCTATGCTTTACACTTTCTAAGCATTTTATCACACAACCCTCACAATCACCCTCAGGTGCAGGAATTAAAATTCCCAAGCTACAGACATGGAAGTTGAGTTCAGAGAAATAGGGCAACCAGCCCAGAGTCACAGCACCACCTTTATCAGTTTGGACCAGGAGTCAAACTCATCTCAGGCTTGCTCCCGTCAATATCTCATGCCACATCCTGGCTGCAAAGTCTTTCAGTGGTCTGATCTGCTCCAGGACAAAGCACAGCCTCCCTAGTAGCACAGAAGTTGTCTGGTCTGCCTAAGTGGCTGCAGCTCATTCTTGCTTTTGCTTTTCTTGGCTCTGGCTGGGCCCTGGCAGGTTGTGTAGGATAACGGGGCACTGGTATAGATGTACACAATTCTCTTCTTTGTACTTGCTCTATAGTGACAGACACCTTGGCCACTTTCTCTTTATAGAAGCCACAGCCCCAGGTTTTTCTCCCTGTCTTGTGACCATCCCCTGTCCCTTTGTGAGCTCCAACTGTAGCCCTAGATTAGGAGCTATGTAGAGTGTGAGTCTCAAAGAATTCCATGTCTCCAGGAGATACAGGGCAAAAGAGGTGAGCACACACGGGTAACAGAGGCCAAGTGTGATCAGTGTGGCAGATAGCACGGTGGAGCTCAGGGAGGATGACACACTCAGGGGCTTGTTCCCTGGTATGGCTTTCCTAGCCCTGGTCTACTTTTCTTCAAGCACTTGGGACTGAGCAGGCTCTGCAAGGGTGGTAGGGTCAGTGGCAGACAGCTTCCTGCCCTGCCCACAAAGCCCCCACAGCACAGCAGGGTAGTCAGGAGCTCAGCATGGAATGGCCTCTTCCTAGGTAACTGCAAAGGGAGCTCTGTCACCAGCCATGGACTGGAATGGAAGGGATACCAGCAAGAGACCTCTGGAAGTCAAAGAAAAGAACTGCATGCAAATGAGATGAACAGGAAGAAGGATGGGGTGGGTGGGGGGAAAGGCTGGGGAAGAAGAGAGAATGCAGGCGAGGAAGACAGTGGAAGAATGAACAGGCGTGAGATTAGCCGTTTCAAACAAGTGCTGTCAGTGATCTATATTTGCTTACAGAATGAAAAATGTGTGCCATAAACATTGGCCACTGAGTAATTTCTAGTAGGAGTTGTGTCACTTCTCATAAATGCTGGGATGTGGACAGGTGGCCATCCCACAGCTGGGCCAGTGGCAGGGAGCTCCTGGTAAAGCAATACTGTCTGCAGCCCAGGCGGCTTTCAGGTCAGGCTCATCCTGCCACTCAAGGGGGATGTCACCAGTGCTCTGGAAGGTCCAGGAGCCTCAGGCAGCAAGTCTGCCCCCACTTTGGGAAGGCTGGAAAGGGTTCACCATGGATAATGTCCATCCAATAGTAGTCCCCTAACCCCACACCCTGCTCTGACTTGACTAATTGCTGTAATAATTGATAGAACCTGACTTCTCCCACTGATCAATTTCACCTCCACGACCAACGGCCACAAACTATTACACTCCAATAAATAAGCATGTTGGGCCTTAACCTGCCTGCCCTCTCTGGGGGCATCAGCATGGCCCGTGCCCTGGCCTGACCTCCCCTTGCCTCCCACCCAGGGCCCCTCCAGGCCGAGCAGCTGGTCTAGAGGGCCAGACCTTTGGGAGCAAGTGAGAGGGCTGGGCAGAGGTGGGGAGCGCTAATCGCAGGCCATCCGTCACCTCCCACTGGCTGTCTGGGACTGGGGCAAACACCTGGAGCACCCCAGGCAGTGTGGCACAGGACCCATCCCTCCTCTCCCTGCTCCAGATTAGTGTGTCCTAGCTTATAATATTTGATAAATAGCACACTGGCTTCCTGGCAGCCCTGCTGCGGCTGCGCCTCCCCGCTACAGCTGTGGAAGGTCACTCATTGGGGAAATATGTTTCTGTCAGTGGTATTGAAAAAAGTTTAGTGGAGTGACAGGCCTCAATTTTTCAAATTTTATTAACTCTATCCTCTTAACCATTTGTCTTGAATTCCTCCAGATTCTGGGGGAGCTGTCAATAGGGCTTGGGCCAGAGAAATAGGGTGGGGGTAGCTAGGTGGTGGATGGACATGGGGCTGTTATAGGTTGGTGCCACTGGGGCTTACAGGGGACTCACCACTTAGGGTAGGGTAAGGCAGTGGCAATGGTGCTGAAGGGCGAGAAGGCCTGGTCCACGCGGGTCTAGAGAGCCCAGCACTCCTGGGTGCACTGCCTGCCTTTTGTTTGACCCAATGACAGACTCTCCCAGTGGAAGAGGAATTCAATGGTAAGTTCTCCAGGAAGAGGCTCCCTGCTTTACTATAACTGAAGCAAGTGGCAACCTTTACTCCATAAGATGTCCTAAATTTAAAGGGGACAGAGTCTGTTTTACACAATTCCAGCCTCGCTCACCAATCCCTTGTCCATTCTCGTCTTCCTGCAAATACTTGTGCATCTCCCTAAGTCCCAGTTCAGGCTTCTCATCCAGGAAACTTTCTGTATTGCATTCCAGCTGGGTGTCATGCTCTGTGCTCCCAGAAGTCACCTGCATCTATGATGCTGCAGGGATCACTCAGCATTAAGCCTGTCTTCATGCAGGACTGAGAGCTCTTCAAAGACTACAATACACTATTGTATCCTTGGACCCAGCACAAGACCTGCCATGAGAGAACCATGAACTCTCCATGTGCCACCTTCTGAGGCCACATAGAACATGACTGTTCTGTCTTAGAACAGTCTTTCTGATAATGAAGCTATGGTAAGGGCCCTTGTTCTGGTTCCAAGTAGGGTCCCCAAATCCATAGGCTCTGTGAGTGAGGAATGAAGAGCAAGGCATGGCAGAGAGGCTCACTGACCCTTCCTAAAGAAAATTCTGAAGTCAAAGAGGAGGGTAGGATCAAATCTTCTCTTGATGGTGGGAAAAGCTCACATGCTTCGGGGTGGAGTGAGAAGAGGCTGGTCAATCCTACCTCCACTGATACTTCCCTGACCTGGCTTTGGTTCACTTCTGTAAACATCAAAGAAGATGAGAACGAGAGGGCTAATCAACAACCATAAGCACACTGCACAAACATGTAAGGCCATTTATAATCAGTAATATCAGCATGCTCCCCAGCTCTGAGATGTCCTCACTTCATCCAGAGAGAGGGACAGACAAGTAAACAATGATACCAGCACATGTGCTAAGTGCACAGGGGGAGTGCTCACAGAGCCATGGAGGTCAAAGAGACATAGGGCTGGAAGGTTGGACAAAGGAAACAGGCCTGGAAAACAAGGAAGTGTTGGT